TTAAATGTTAAGTCTGAGTTTAGTTTGGCTTACGCTATAATTATAGATTAAGTCTGGATTACGTCTGGCTTACACTATGGTTATAGTTTAAGTCTGAGTTCAGTCTACATTAGATTATAATTATAGGTTAAGTCTGAGATTCACCTAGATCATCTTCATCAGATCAGAGTTACCTCTGATTTACACTATAATTATAGATCAAATCTGAGAGAGTTGAGTCTGAGTTACACGATGATTACAGATTAAGTCTGGGATACATCTAGATCAGAATATAATTATAGATTAAGTCTGAGTTAGGTCTGGATTAAGCTATGATTATAATTTAAGTCTGTGTTCCGCCTAGATTAGACTATAATTGTAGATTAAACCTGAATTACTTCTTGATTAAGTTATAAATAAAGTCTGTGTCGTGTCTCGACCAACAGAAGGAAACATTTCTTAGAAAAAGAAACAAAAAGATAAAAATATAGAGAAAAATGATCAGGTAAAAAAAAAATTTATCGTTTCCACGATAGTTTAGTCACCGCATTACAAAAGCAGCAGTGATATCGTTTGGTGAATCATTGAGCAAATAATTATATAAACAGGAAATTGGGTGCTTGAGGTTACGCGGGCAGCATAGGCGAGAAACGGGGGCGTATATTTCCTACGGTCGCCGGATCGATCAGATTTTTATCAGTCTCCCCTATAGACAGAAAATCGAGCGTCGTCAATCTCGGAACCTTTGCCCGTCCTTTGCCCGGTTATCCGATATATTTATGATATCGAAAACCGGAGGGCGAGCCGGTACAAAAAGGGAAGTTGGCGTTGAAAGTAGGTGTCGTGAGCCGTTGCAGTCCCGGGGGTGTTCGTTACTTAACCTGCCACGGTGAGAACACGGTATTGCACATTATCGCGGTCCGGTTCGATGAGAATCTCGTTGCACAATCGGCTCAATGAAAAATTCGAAGCCGTCTTCGAACGCTCCAATTAAATGCCTTAATGTTTCATTGATTTATTGCATTGATTTATTATCATTAGGTAGAAGATTTTGTTGGACACTTGGGCGAATGAAAAATAAAAATAAATCGAATATATAAATCTTAAAATAAATATATAATATAGTTTGACATATAAAAAAATACATATGCAAGTAATATGAAAAAAGTTGTAATATGAAAATAAATAGGGAAATAATTTTAATATGAAGATAAATATAGAATTAATTTTAATATGAAAATAAATATGGAAATTATTTTAATGTGAAAATAAATATAGAAATTATTTTAATATGAAAATAAATATATAAATGATTTTAATATGAAGATAAATATATAAATAATGTTAATATAAAAATAAATATATAAATAATTTTAATATAAAAATTAATATAGAAATGTTTTTAACAGAAAAATAAACTCTCATGATGTCGGAAAATATTTAATTAAAACAATGCATATTGGGGATACAATCTGGAGTAAAAAGTCAGCGTTGCACTTGTCACTGTAGCCGTCTGTTTTACTTTGATCCGAAATTCTTTTAAAACCTGGTATCTTTGTACATCCGGCAAACACGCGTATCAAGCGCCTGTGCCAGACACAATGACGCCGCCTCGACTCTCGCCTACACACAATTAATATTTTCCTGGAACACAAGCTTTGGAATTCCGTACGAAAAGGTTCATTCTGTCGCGCGATTTAACGAATGGATTAAGCGACGCGCGCACGAACTCCGCACAGTTTCGCACGTTTTAGAGGCGAAAGAAACAACGTTCACTCCCATTTTTCTTTCTCTCTATTACACGACGATGACACAACAGCTCCGCGTTTCCTTTGAATTAAAACGTCCTAGACACGCGCGCACAGTAGGACAAGCGAAAGTCGCACTTTTTCTTTTCAATCAGCGTGACCAGTTTATTCTTTTGTCCAAGATTACACACTTTCCGAAGATTACAGTTTTTTTTATAGATTACGCTATTTTCAAAGATCCTTCGAAGAGTTTACCCTATTTTTCCAAGAAATAACAAAAATATTTTTTACTATTTTTTCTGCGTTTTTGAGTTGGAATTAGTCTTTTAGGTTATGTCTGAGTTGGATCTAGATTATTAACCAATTATTTTTCCTTCATATTATGAGTCATGTGTCCAAGGAACAACGAAAATATTTTTTACGATTTTCGTTGCGTTTTTAAGTTGGAATTAGTTTTTTAGGTTATGTCTGAGTTGTGTCTAGGTTAGTTCTGTGACAATGTTATAATTTTCCGGAACAGTTTTTATAATATCTCCAGCGTCGAAGTATAGTTCAGGTCTCGATTAGGGCTCAGTCAATTTTATAACTATTCAGAGCAGTTGCCTAATGACCTTGGATATTAATTTGTAAATATCATCTGCAATAATGCAAAATAATGTAATATTGACCATAAATTCTTGGAACTCCTTTACAACATTGTATTCGACCCATTCATTTTTGTCGTAAATGCAAAAAAAATACGTCATCTATTTATAACTGATTATAAAAAGCCATTGCACCAAAATGGAACTGAAGAAAAAACGAAATGTTTGAATTTTGACGCTTACACTGTTTTCAACGAACACTCTTCGATGATTAAAAAATCTGTACAGGGTGCCCCATTATTACTTTTATTTTATTTTATTCGACTGTGTTTCACTTTGATCTCTCTTGTACAAATGTTGCAAAACAATAGCTACTTTTTTAAATATACATGGTGTCCCAAAATCATGGTACTTCCGGGAAGTAATGGATTCCTGAGGTCATTCGAAGTAATTTTTTCCTTAGCGAAAATGCAATCCGCGGCTTCGTTTACGAGTTATTAACGAAAAACACGGACCAATGAGAGGCGAGCGCGCTTAGCGCTAGGCGGCCGGGCCAACGAGCGGAACTGGGCTTCGCGCGCTGATTGGTCAGCGTTTTTCGTCAATAACTCGTGAACGACGCTTCGGAGAACATTTTCGTAAAAGAAAAAGTTACTTGTAATGACCTCAGGAATCGCCCCCATAGGGAGTTGCCATAATTCCGGGACATCCAGTGTATCTATTGTGACGAAACGGAGAACTTACAAAGTCGTACGTAGAGAACGTATTGCATCGGTGCCCTCGCCGCAGTGTCCAGTATGCTGCCCCTGGTGGACAGGAAGCAAATGGAGAATTCGACCAGCATGGAGACGCCGAGGATCCCCAGGTAGCCAACGACGTACTCCCAGAGAAGAAGTATGCACGTGACGCTGCGATCCCACGTGAGGACGCCCAGCAGAACGCCCAGCACTACCGCCCTGTAACAAAACGTCAGACAACGGCGTCAGAAAAAAAGGAATGAAATCAGAGTTCGGCTCGAACCGGCGTTCCCGTAAAGATATCACGCCTGTCGAATCAGTCATCGAACCATGAACGGAATACGTTGTCGAGCAACTAGAAAGAGGGTGAGCGACAGAGGAGAGAAAGAGAGAGAGAGAAAGAGAGAGAGAAGGAGAGAGATATCTCTCCTCTAATTACTTTCGTTCCCATGGCATAACGCGAAGCCCAATCCTTCTCATCCAGCCACCTCTATCCTTTCTGTTTTCGAATAATTAAACGCCGGTGTAGTCCCGCGACTCAGCGTTTAATTAGCCGCACCGCCGAAATTACACAATTGGACCGCGGTCCGTATTTGTTCGGTTATTGTTTCCCGCCGGATTTACCCGTCAATTTGACGAGTCTCGGATTTCCATCGTGCGCTAAACGTCGCGTTGGTCTTTCGTGGTTTTTTAAACCGGTCGGATCGTGAATTTAAACCACCGCGTCTGTCTACAGGGTGTCCCAAAATGATGGTACTTTCGGGAACTGGGCGATTTCTCAGGTCATTTGAAGTAACTTTTTCCTTAGCGAAAATGCAATCCGCCGCTTCGTTGACGAGTTATTAACGAAAAACGCGGACCAATCGGAGAGCGAGTGCGGCCGGCGCTTCGGCCTCGCGGCCAATACCGCGTCGCGACAGCGGTGGTCGTGAGGCGGGGCATCAGCCGTACACGGCCTCTCATTGGCCCACTGTTTTTCGTCGATAACTCGTGAACAAAGCTTCGTAGAACATTTTCGCTAAGGGAAAAGTTGCTTCAAATGACCTCAGGAATCCCTCATTTTCCGGAAATATCATAATTTTTATGTGGAGCTAGCATTTCTTAGGAAAGAGAAATAGAATTCATTTAGATTTTGTAAAGTTTCAATTATAAAACTTGCTCGATCATAGCCCGCGAAGAAGTCTCGAAATTTCGTGGTATTGTGAAATTAAAATTCAATCATTTAGACCCACGATAGCGTTACTGTTGATTCGTGTAATTTTTTGTCTTTAGGAATTTTTGATAATTTTCGTTTACGTCGTACAAATCATGATCTATGTTTGCCAACTTCAATGTTAAATATTTCTACGGCGAATTCGGAAAATACCGTCGACCTCCTCGAATCTGTGTTTATGTACAACAGGTGTCTCAGAATTTCGGTTACATTATGGGGAAAATCACGCGTTTCGTGTATTCTATGTTATAACGTCTTCCGATAATGCTCGCGTCGCTCGGTGACTTCGCCGCGGCTTAGCAAAGCTTCTCAAAATCGATTGCACACAGAGTGCTCTGCTTAACTCGTGACCTACAATGCCGCTTTCCTTTATGGAAAATTGTCGACGGTGTCGAGCGTCTGAAACGAGTTTCCCTCAAACAGATTTTAAACGGATAAGACTCCGTGAAGGAACGTCTTGCTTATTGCTCGATTTAAGGTTATGTAAGTGCACCTTAATATCGCGAGGAATCCTTTGGAAGATCTATGGTCCGATCTAGGATCAAATCCGGTGAGATTTACTTCAAAAATCCTATTTTTACGTCATCGTGGTATCTGTAATTCGTAACAGGCCCATCGCCAAGCTTTCGAAGCGTGACGTCACAAGATGGCTGCCCACCGACGAATTCCCTTAATACGACGAGATTTAGCGTTCGCACAGCGAAACTGGGAAAATACCGTCCTAGCCAGGACATGAACAGAGCCGATGGTATGTATTTTTGGTGGATTAGTTGCTCGCTTAATTTGTAAAACGTCGTATCCCCAACGTCAACTCGAACCTCCAACAGTTCTCGCTACTAGCGCTAGTGTTCTGTTACAAACAGCGACCCCGCGCGGTCGTTGCTGAGAAAACACGGCCGGTAATGCAGATCAATAATGAAACCTGTGCATCATTTACAGACTGCGGAGCTTCGTGAAAAATAAAAATTGTGTAAGTTAATTGCGAGAATTATAAGTTGGTTGAAAATGATAATAATAAAATATATAATAATAATGAAATATATAATAATAATAAAATATATAATAATAAAATAAAATAAAATTCGTCTAATGTCTTTATAATTTTGTGTACGATTCATAGATTTTTGTCAGAAATGCATGAAATCCGCAGTCTAATCATTTATAATGGACTGCAATGTAATTTTTCGAAAATATATGGAACTTTGACTTAAATAATTCGACCGTTGAGAAAAGATACATTGCGCCAAAAAGTATTAAAATTCTTGATAAGAATCGATGAAATACCAGAAAACTAAGCCAACTATCCGAAGTTCGAATACAGACCTATTGAATGGTCGACACTGATGGATAGGACGCCATAACCGATTCGGGAGACTAACGGTCGCCGAGTTATGCTTTCCATCCGCTTTTAGCGGCCCCAATAAAGCCGAAGTTCGCCGGCAGGTATGCGCATAAATTATAGGAGAAATTCTATCCGCGTCGGTCGACGCTATAAAGATCGCATACATCGAGCAGTGTAAGTCTATCCAACGGTCTTTGAGGTTTGAAACGCTCCGGAGAGGAGCACGTGACACGGCCACCGCCGGGCCCTTTTCACTCATATCCACCGTGCCGTATTTCACCGTCGCGTTCAGCCGTTATATTTATGCCCACTTGCTCGAATGATGTTGCCATTTTCAGACACATCGTTCGGAAAATTCACGGTGCTCCGTGTAATCGGAATTATCGTTCGCCGGCACGTACAAAAACGCTGATCAATCGCGTTAACAGCTCGAAAGAAAAATATTCGAATCGAACGAATTGATCGATAGCTGATGCGATTTCGAGCAACTTTCTCCTTAGCGAAAATTCTCTACGAGCCTCCGTTAACGAATTATCGACGGAGAACCACGAGCCAATCGGAGCGGCCGGGCGTGACAGCGAGCATGACGCGGCATTGGCCGCGCCGAAACTCGTCGGCCGTGCTCGCGTTCCGATTGGTCAACGTTTTTCCTCGATAGCTCGTTAACGAAGCCGCGGAGAACATTTTCGCAAAGGAAAAAGTTGCTCCGAATCGCCTCGGGAATCTCATTTCGCCTCGTTTCGTTCGATTCGAACATTTTTGGGAGCGCCCTCGTGATCCGCAGGGTTAATCAGCGACGTGTTAACACGCCGTTCGAGGAAGTTACAAGAAAGCAACAGCGTTGGCTTTAAGGAGTTTCCGTATCACTCGTTGGAGCTAGATGATTTTATATTTAATCAATCGTAACGCTTGAGGAATATACGTTTTTTTTTAAATAAAAATTCCTGCAATTCATCATGCGGAAAAAAGAACAGCAATGCAGAAATTTTAACGAGAGCCGGAATTGTTAACAATAAACGAATTTATAAATCAGGTGCGATGGAGTCGAAAGAGAGTATCTCGCTTTGCGAGTGTCTCGTCAATTTGCAGCCGCGTCGTTTAACGATTACGCATTTGTGTTCGAACGTACTCCGACGGAAATGTAGTTCATCGAATTAAAATTGCTTGGTAACGACTGACGCAATTAAACTGACCGTGAAATATCGCACGCGCGCGGCCGCTGCCTCGGAAATTAGAAGAATTCTCTTTAATTTAATTGGAACTTGAATTTCGTTGGATAATTAGACTACAACGCTATGAAATATTTGCTGGATCGTGGTCCCGCAGGATCTCACGCAGTCCGGCAATAAAGCGACCGGGATTAAAAGGAGAAGAGCGCTGCGGCATACGCTCCTAATTTACGCCCTTTCAGACAGCCCTCCGGGGAACGAATTCATCGCGTATGGTATTTCCATTAATTTGCAAAACCTATTAAAAATTCTTTTAGCCTGGGTTACCTTAGCTCGAACAAAATTACTATTCCCTGCGTCCTCTAAATTTCGCTCTAATCATAAAACGTAAATTAACCGTTAATTTCTCGTACGACGTTTTTTTTTGTACAGAAACGAACATCGACGCGTGGGGAACTGTAATTTAACCTTCTTTACCCTTCGGTCGACGATAAATTTTATCCGCCTGTCGCCAACAGTTAAGCTCGTATCGTTTGCTTTCAGCACTGTCGAAAGGTATCGCCCGAATGTAAATGTGATTTATGCGACCGTTAAAGCGCAGTAAACATTTTCATTCGAATGAATTATTCGACTGCGAACCTCTGTGCAAACTGACGAACGATCGTTCCTGTTTAAATGCATGCAAAAATTTTGGAAAAAAGATGCGACACACTTGGTATCTTTGGTCTCGTTTAAGGACATTTTTTCAGATTTTTCCGCCGCAAGCAGCGATCGCAAGAAATGGAAAACCACGAAAAACGGCGAAAAATTGCAGATATCTCGAAAACGAAGAAAGATACGTTTTTCATATTAATTCTCCGATAGGGTACTGGCGCAAGCAGTATCGTCAATTTTTCTCAGATTTTTCGTACGGCTGCGCCAATGCGAAAAAAATCAAAACCGAATTTGGTCGTCGTTGTCGCCGTTGGAAGGAAACTTAGGCCTGTTGGTCTTACTGCGAGTGATGCATAAAATAATTTGGAACGTCGATGGACCACGCGACGAAATGCCAATTGTTCGGTTTTATTTCGAACGAGACGAGCGACCCCGGTCGAGGATACTCCAATAAATATTCCCGCGAGAGCACCGCGACCGTCGAGTGCCGTTAGCGTTGCATTGCGGACTGTAGACAGATGGGGATGACTTATTAACGATGCACAATCAATGGTCGCCACATGGAGATCGCCGAGTGCGGGGTGCGAGCATTGTCCGGGAGCGATCATTAAGAGCGGATCGGCCGAACAGCTTTAATGGCTCCTTCGAATCTTGAAACCCCCTTTGTCGTTTCACTTTCGTTCCTTAATCCGCGCGTTATTATTCAAGCGAGGAGTACCTTCGTCAAAACTTTTGCTATGCTTGGAATAACGATTGAAACGTTGTACACGCGTATTTGCGATTTCTAGAACTGATTCACCGGAAACTCCGTAGAAAAGGGTTTATCGATTACGATGGCCTT